GCACGCACGCACGCACGCACGCACGCACGCACGCACGCACGCACGCACGCACGCACGCACGCACGCACGCACGCACGCACGCACGCACGCACGCACGCACGCACGCACGCACGCACGCACGCACGCACGCACGCACGCACGCACGCACGCACGCACGCACGCACGCACGCACGCACGCACGCACACACATGGTACAGATATGTAATTAATTGTTATATTATCTTTTCTCACTGTCTGCTTATGTATATATGGATATTATTTCGAAACACTTCATCGGTAATAGCACTTTGGAACATCCGTAAAATAATTATTGCTACAATAAGAGATATATTAATACGTAATTGAATTTTTTTCAAACTTTTCCTTCCTTTTCTTTTATAATATACGTATATATAAATTTCTACTAAAATCGTTATTTAATTATTTTCACCTTTCATGTAACGAGGAAAACTAAAAATTGAATTAATGTCCAATAGGCTAGTGATTTCCACAGGATTCATATTAAAATGAGAATCCAGATGAAGAGATTCGTATTGATTCTGAATTATGAAAAAATCCAAAATTTCAGAATTATTGAAGCTCTAAAAATAAAATTTCATAACATTATGCATAAACGTTAAAATAAAAAACATGTCCGCATTGTGAGTTAATAATGTGTGCTATTGCACACTACGTACGTTTGTGCACGTTTGTGCATTATTATTAAAATTATTTTATAGTTTTCATAATTCAATTTAGAAATAACGTGCAAATTCATTTATTAAAATAAGTTTTCACACAATTGTGACATTATATGCTTTAAATTGTGATATTTTTTTAAATATTTAATTGAAAAGATTTTAGGAGTTTTGTTACAAAAATTTTTACATAATATTATTGTTTCTATTTAAAAGTATATTGTCGCAAACTTCAGATAATATATAGATTTTGAAAAAGATATGATCTCACAATCAGATCTGAGTTTCAAAATAGTATACATAATAGAGATATGTCTCTCATATTGCGATATTAATAAATATAAAAACCTTAACAACAGCTTCTTCTCCGAACATAGTAGCAAGACCGTCGTGTAACCACCAATAATGAAACCAAACCGAACTGAGTAAGTTACTAAACCATTGGTATGCTATTTTAGGTGCTATTAAATGTGCGATTTCCATTTTGCGCATAACTGTATCCAATGTTTCATTATAAATAAGATTGGCTTCCCTATAAATTATTATAATTAATCTAACATGCAATATATTTTTTGTTTTTCTAAAATAAAACATATTACTTGCTTTACATTTTTCTATTTAATTTGTTTTTAATAATGTGTATAAGATATTTGACATTTTAAATAATTTATAATTCTGTATATGATAAATTACAATGAAACCAGATTATTTGTATTTTATATTCAGTTTAACAAATGTGTAATGTAATATCTCATTGAATATCCACTTTCGATATTAATTTTATTAGAAAAGTGGATTTTGCTTTTCGTGTTTCTTAATAAAGTACAAATGTCTAATACTTGATATACAATGTAATTTGTATAATGTGACAGATGCAATTGTGAATAAAATTTATAAAAATATATGAAAAAGTGTTTTATAAATAGATGTTTAGTACAGAAGAAGATACCACACAGTAAAAAGGATTAAATATACTGAATAGGAGCCCTTCCATAATCTTGTCCTTGAGTCATCATTCATAGAGAAAGACTCCCTAATTCGGTATAATTATCAAAATTACTTGTGGAGGCGAAAAAATATGTTTCATAATAACTTCTATTTTTTAAATAGTCTGTAAATTGTTTTTATATTCTAAGATATTTAAGAGAAGTTATTAAAATGTCAATGTAGCATACAAAATATTTAATACTTTATTCTAGCATATTTTGGCATGAAATAATGTGAAAAATCTCGCAACTGTTAATTTCCTTATAAGCATATTCTGGTATTTTTATGCACAGCTGATGAAAAAAACACAATTGATTTTAGGAAAAAAATGCAATCAGAATTATTCCATATTTATTTTATAATGTAAGTTGTATACAAATCCACCTTGTATGTTAATGATATGAATTATTATATTTATAAACTAATAAATTTTAAACTTTTAAATAACTCAATTAATGCATATTATTTTTGTGTTTAACATATTTTATATTTAAATATATACATTACGTATGAAATATAAGCCCCCATTTCGATATGCCGTCTTGTGGAAAATTTGGAATTGCAATGTGATCCATTTTTGGAATATTTATCTCATCGAATTCAGATTTTAAATGCAATGTAATATTGTTTATGATTCTTTGTACAAACTCAAATTTCGGAGACTGCTCTTTTGAACAATATTCGCACCACAAAGTAATGTTTTCATTAATTCTAATGGATTGATATTCGGTCATAACTATCGCAATTTGAAAAATGGACATTGGAGGCGTAACATGGAAGTATGTGCGTAATGAATCGCTATAACTGTCATAATGTTTCTGTGACCGTGTCGGCATGTTTGATAAAACTGAAATATAGCGAGGATGTTTTATTGAAATATTAAACGTGGCCTTTAATTGCGGTTTGTCCCAACAAGGAAATAACTGTCTCATTCCATTCCGCTCTTGAATGTGTGGAGCTATCAACAATCTGTTACAATTTAATAATTATTATATTTGCTTTAAATATAATCATACAATAATGAATCTTTACTATTTGATTGAATTCAAACAATATCATTAAAAATTAGTATAAGAAATACATTTTGAAGAAAAATAAGAAATAATTATATTATAAATCACATTATTTATACGTATATTTTTGACTATTTATTATTTACTCACGTTATGGTATTTTCTGTGGAAACATTTTTAAAGAAACTGTCTTCATGGTTTTCTGTTAGATAACCAAAAAATTGTATTTTGAATGTGTAGAGCCCGGGAAGTAACGCATAGAGTAAAGGAAATTCTAAAATATTCGTTTTATAGGTGTATTTATATTTATTTAATATGTAAATTATGCCGTTCTTTGTAATCAAAGTTGCATTCGTACGGTCTATCATCAGCTTTATTTGATGCAAACTTATATAGTGAGTCGATTGTAGAATATTAATAGTTGTACTAGTTTCACCGCGAAAGAGAAATGAATCATAATCATTTTTTGAATCAAGTATCTCTTTCCAAATGTTATCAAGTTTATCATTGTGTTGATAGATTATGTAGTCGAGCTGTGTGCAGTAGTGCACTGGTATCACGTAATAAGGAAAATGTATGTAGTTTGAAATGTTTAGTTCTTCACTATTAAGAATAGCTATTGTTACAATAATTATTATGCTGCTACTTATCTGTGCTAGATTCATATTGCCTCAATTATCGTTCTAAATATATATATCTGTCAAAAAGTTTAAAGAAATAATATAGTACTAATAATGCACATAGTACCTGCACGTAATAGTTATTGAACATGTTGTTAGATAGACAGAGAGAACGGGAAGAGAGAGAGGGGGGAATGAGAGTAATTTAATGATAATAATGCACATAGTACCTGCACGTAATAGTTATTATACATGTTGTTAGATAAACAGAGAGAACGGGAAGAGAGAGAGGGGGGAATGAGAGTAATTAAAGTCGTATGTAATTGTAAATATATAGATACGATTACATCTACCAATAAGTTAATACTAAACATTTTTTAATTCAATAATATTTCTAGTACTATTGTGATTATATTAAAGATATCGTAAGGTTCTAAAAAAAGTTTCAAATTATTATTTATTTTAATAAATATTATATTTCTAGTACTATTGTGATTATATTAAAGATATCGTTAGGTTCTAAAAAAAGTTTCAAATTATTATTTATTTTAATAAACATTTTTTCATTGAATATATGTTTGTTTTTCTGTTAATTGATATCTTAAACAGAAGTCTTAATATGGATATCATATGAATGTCTACAAAAATATCACATTTTGTAGTACATTATTAAAATACAAAAATTACATTTTTATAATGTATTATTAAGGTACGTACATAAGTTCTCAAACAAGTTTAGTCGAAAGTCAAATAGTATTATAACACCAACACCCATTTAAAAAATAATTTGCACATTACAAATAAATTGTGTCATATTTTTAGAAACTTACCTATGTGTAATAAAATATTGTGCTATTAGAATATAATTTAAACTTCTAATTAATATTTATAATAACTGTAACGGATCTATGGATTTTAGTAGAATGTTATTGATTACTGCGATCTTATTCTTCCGAGAAGTCCTAACAGACTAACATCATCGATAATATATTATATTAGGACTATAGGCATTACATAATAATTACAAAATCGTTTTCTATAATGTAAATATTGTTGACGTGCTATATTAACAAAATATTAGTCAATTTACCTTTCGATAAAATACATATTATTTACCCTTTGTAATAAAGTTGTGCTATTAGAATATAATTCAAACTTTTAATTGATATTCATAATAAACAATGCTATTAGATACATTTTGTCTGTGTAATATTCCCATCAGCATATTATACATTTAAAATTTTTACATTAAGTAAATGTTTAAAAACTATTTCAGAAACAGTATCTTATGATTGAATATCTTAAAGTGACAGTTAAGTTAAAGTTTCTTACGTGATTATCAAAAATTAGCTATTACACACCGTTTTCATAAACCTTATAAAGTAATAAAGTACATATATTACTCTTTTAAAGAAATAAAACTATCGTTGAAAATATTTGAAAAAAATAATTTGAAATTATCATTTAATTGAATCATTATATACATATGCTTAGACATTTAACTTTTAATCGAAAGCCGAAGAAGGTTTTTATAATTTCATTTAAAAAATTATGTAGGGTATACATTTCAATAAAGTATCATAAGCACTTACCGTATAAAATAAAATTGTACTAATAAGACATAATTCTGACTGTTAATTTATACATTTGTAATAATAGTAACGAAACGAAATATGAATGCTAATAATAATTTTCAGTTGCTGCGATCTTATTTCTTCGAAAAATTACAGTCGATAATATTTATATACTATTAGATTTCATAATAAATACAAAATGTCACCTAAGCAATTCTTTAGAATATTTGCTATATACATGCGACATCCGTTCCGAAATGTTGGAAATTCCAAGTTTAAACTCTTATTTTTCGCAATAAAATTATTTGCAGATTTTAGATTCTCATTAACATCCGTATATTAATATTCTTATATAGATACTTATTATTAGAATACTTTGGATATTTTATCCAAATCATATTATGATCCTTCTACTAAAAAAAAAATCATATAATTTCATTTTTTTAAATAGCCATGATCTTGATGTAATCATAAAACATTGACTTTTTCGGAAATTAATTTTACCTGTATTTGCGTCCGATCCAGCCATACAATTTTTATCTTAACATATTTTTGATTCGATCTTGTTTTGCGACAATGAAAGGGATGGTAAATTAAAATAGTACACCCTGTATATTTAATGTTATTATAAAATATAATAAATTATCATACTTAAATAAAAACTGTTTATCTTTTATTGTAAAAAATACAGAATGAATATATTTTAAAGGTATAAAAAATATTAGTTCCTACAGTAGATGTTAACTCAAGCTTAAATGAAAGTGATTAATCTTCTGGTCTGATTGACCTGCCACACATTTAATGCTTCATATTCTTCGATGCATCTATATACTGGATCGGGTTTAAATCCTTTGCTCGTACACCGCTCCAAAATATCAGACACTTTGACAGTTTTTTTATCGCCAGCAAGTTCTCGTATTAGTTGGAAGATCCTGTTGATCGGATCTTGTTGCACGTTTTTGGAGCGTTGTTCGGAGTAATTAATCGAATGTTTGGACATCTCTACTAATCTGTTTGCTTCTGCTATGTCATCCTTATCAACTACATTCGATAATCGTAACCGTGCTAATGCCGTCGATAACCGAAGGATAGCCAGTAGATTTCGAGCGGAAGTAAATGTTTTATCGTGGCTGTTACGCGCCTCTTTCCGCATTTCCGCGTAAGAGTCTGCAAAAGTATGATATTTCAGAATAAATCTGCCAAATAATTTTAGTTTAATACATGATGGCAATAAATAGTATCCCTTATTTGTCACAACAATAATATCATTCTACAAAAAAACAAAGCGATCCAGAAAATCAGTTTGAATGTTCATTAAAATTTTGAAACATTAATTTTAAAATGTAATTTTAGTGTTATATAATTCATTGTAAAGAATAAAAGTATACTCCTTTAAAATATATTCTTTTTTTCTCTTTACATTTCTATTCTTTATCTACAATCAATTCAAAATGATTTTTTATTTATATCATTATAGAAAATGAGAGATATGTATTAAGACATAATGATACAAGAAAATTATAACATGAATATTATACACACCTACAATATATTCTGTTAATTCTTCTGATACAACAGGTTCTTTCGTTTTACACAAATTTATGTATTTTCTTATCAATTTCATATCTATAGCTTCTGTTTCCGTCGGAGGTTGCGAGCAATGTTGATGAACATATGTGATATGTTGCGCGAGTCTATCAAAAGAATACTTATTCATTATCAGCATATAAATATCATAAAATATGAAATTAGAACGGATTATGTTTAATTAGATACATAGACTGAGATGTGGCTAAAGAGCGATTTGTAATATTAAAAATAATGTAAGAACATTATATTCTTTTACTCTTGATATTATAAATTACTTACTTAAGATCATTACTCCGATCTGCGCGATCTTGAATAAGCCACAATAAATCAAATCGTGACAGCAATGCAGCGGGCAATTGAATATTCTGTTCGACTGTTCTTTGTGGATTGTACCTGCCATATGCTGGATTGGCAGCGGCTAATATAGAGACTCTGGCGTTCAAACGAGCCATTATTCCAGCTTTAGCAATAGATATGGTCTGTTGCTCCATCACTTCATGAATTGCCGTTCTATCCGCATCTGCCATTTTATCAAACTCATCGATGCAACATACTCCCTGATCAGCCAATACCAAAGCTCCACCTTCCAATACCATCTGACCTGTTAAAGGGTCTTTCATGATAGCAGCGGTTAAACCTACACCGGATGATCCTCGTCCTGTAGTATACTGTGACCTTGGGGCTAATCGCGTAATATAGGATAATAATTGCGACTTTGCGACACCAGGATCTCCCATCAAGCAAATATTAATATTGCCTAGAAGCAATAAAATTATCTTAATGTCTATTGGTATTTTAGTGGTATCAAAGTAGAGATAAACGTTAAGTTGTTAAATCGCACAGTAATATCTTTACCTCGAATTTTAATATCGCCTTTCTTCTTGTCTGTTCCCCCAACCAGAAGCAGAAGCAACGCCTTCTTAACATCTTCAAGTCCATAAATTTCAGGGGCTAAAGAACAAGCCAACTTGTTGTAAAAATCATCTTGCATAAGCAAACCCAATTCTTCATCGGTCAATTCTGCATTACTGTCGTCTGCGATATCCGCGTTATTCAGGCATACCACTTTCTGAAATCGAACAAGAAATAAATTTTGCATCAAAAGATTAAGATTAACTTATAATTGTAGAATTGATATATTTATTCTTACATGGGCATCCAAGTAAGTTTCACTAGAAAGTGCAGGCCCTGCTCTAGCACTAAAACCTGTTTTTAGAAAAGGTAAAAACACACCAGTCACAATGACGTGATCCCCGGGTAGACAAGTTCTTGTTGTTTCGCCACGACAAAAGATAGTCAACGATCGTGGTATGTGGCCAACAGGAACTTGCTCGCTCTGTAAAATACACATGTTAGCAATTTAAGAAAGAATATTTGTAAACTTATAAAATTTTTATCAAAAAAATATGTAAACTTATAATTTTTATTTGAATATTTATAAATTTACGTGTTCTTGTATTTTTATTTCTTGAAATTTGATGAACTTTGAACCCTTTGTCTGCAAGTACAATTTGCCACCAGATTTATTTACGCGGCATCCATCACTTGGACATGTTCGTATAGGCATGAAGCTTAAAGAATGTACCTGTAATAATCAATTATATAATATAAAAAAGAAAATATGTTTAAATATTGTACAAATTGCAAAATATGTTATTTGAGAATAGAATATTATTGAATGTATAAAAGAGAAACAATATCAGCTTTCGTACTGGCTGGCTCACTTCCGAACCGCACTCGTCACATGTATACGTCGCCACAACTATCATCGGCTTTACTTCAGTCGCTTTAGTAACAATACCTCTAACTGTTACCAATTTCCCTATCTTATCTGCCTTGATATCTCTTACTGAGTACGCCTTTGCATCAGAAAAATCTTTGAAGTACACTTCACTAAAAAGTATAGTATTTATTTTTATTATTACATATTTGTGAGTCTAGATTATGTTGTTTCTATATAAAGAATGTCGAAACATAAATTAAGTTTTCTTACAAACGTCGCATCAATTCAGGAGCATAATTAACTTTCACAGTATTTTGAGCACCTGGTGCTGTATTACGTGCTTCTAATAATAATCGATGTTCTGTGTATACATCCAATGAATCTTTGGGCAGAACAACTCCTTCTTTGAAGCCAGGCAGCATCTCTTGAACCAGCTGTATTAAAAAATTCATTAATTTCTATCTGCTATAAAATACACAAACTTATACATGCATTAGTTTACAACATTCAAATTTAAGCATTAACATGTCTACATGACAAGTATAAATCTTCTTGTTTTAAATTATCTTAAAAGTATTCGCAATAATTTCTATACATACATTCAGGACTAAATTAGTATATCTTCTTGTATTATTAGTGATAGACATGGCTAATTCATCATCGAACGAGTGTAAATCATCCAAATCAATTTCAAAGCTAATTTGTTCACGGTGTGCTATTTTCGTAAGCATATCTCTATATTTGAAGGTCTTTTTTCCTGTATCGTCCATTGCCACAAATTCCAGAAAGAAGGTCTTTATTTGTTCTAAAATAAACATTTGTAAAATTTGTAGGTAGCATTCTTAAAATTTTAATGTCGGTTATATGGTCTTCTCCACAAATTCTGTGAGAACAAATCTTACCTTTGTCTTTAACATAATCTCGTGATACTTTAGTCGCCATTTTTTACAAGTTAAATAAAAGCTACGTAGCTACTTGAAATTTACTTTATAAAATGTTCTTTTCTCCAACTTTCAATCTCAATTGATCTCAACTAAATACGAATGTGTGGTTAAATAACGTCATGCCTCGACTTCGCGCGCAAATTAAGAGCATAGATTGTAAAACATGTTAAAAAGAAATTCTAAAGAAATAAACCGGATGTTTAGTATGAATTTTCGACGATTCGTATTGGTCCGAATTATTGGACAAATCTACGATAGTCATGAGGCCAATGGAAAACTATTATTGCACAATTTAGTTAAATTAATATCCTTATGTTTATTTCCTAATAAATTTTCTTTACAAATTTTCATCTCTTTTTTTTTAATTTTGGTAATTATTGGTGGAAAAGATATCAGAATGAATTTTTATTTTGTCTTTTTTCCAAAGAGATCACTCTGTAAGAGTCTTTAGGTGACTTTTCTAATTACAAATATTGCAATTAAAAAACGCTATTCATTAAATTGTATTCATATAGTATTTTAGTTGTAATTTCAGCAATTACAGAAAGAAGAAGAAATTTGTCTTCAACTAGAGGTCTCCATAGTCTGCTATCAAACCTTAACCAAAGAAGAAAAGTAAGAGAAAGTAAAAAACATTGAATATTTTTATTTAAATTTTATGTTGATAAAAAAATGTTTTCTCCCATTAGTAAGTTTATGCTTAATGTATATATATATCATCAAAGAAATTATATATATTAAAGAATTTGTATATATTAAGTAGCATCAAAGAAATATATGAAAGTTTAAATGATGCATTTTATTCAAACGAATTTATTACAGAATTATCTTCGCCTAAATCATTCCAAGGAAGAAATTTAACAGGAACAGTACGTCTTATACGTGATTTAGCTGCAGACATTCATGCAAATATACAGCAATGGAACAACCTTCATATTCAAGGAATTACTTATTTAAAAAACATAACACAAGAAAAACATGATAAAAATTATTCTAAAATTTTACAAGATTTGTGTGATAAGTTAGAAAATATTTGTGATAATCTGGTAAATTTTTCTGTTTTTTTTTTAAGAGCATATTTTAGATTTTTTTACTATGTTATTTTATATTTTATATTTTTACAACTTAACAAATTTTAATATTATTTTGATTTAATTGATGTTTTAGTTGAATTTAGAATTATATTTGTAATTTATTAATATAAATAATTATGAGTAATCTTATTTTTAGGATGGCATAGTTAGAAACTTAGATCAAATTAAGAATCAACTAAAAACCGTATCAACCTTAGAGAAAACTACAGATAAATTATTTATAACATGGCCGACAACAAAGTTTGGTAAGGAATAACTTAAATAACTAGATCTAATGAAAACATTTACTTTATACAGAGTTCACTATAAAAAGATGTTAAGTTTTGACTGTTCTTTGGTTAACTAAGTTCTGAGATATATAAATTATATATTATATAAAAAGACTATTTAAGCAGAGTCAAATGCATTATAATTTATATTGACAGGTTCTGCTGACAGAATAAGAGATCTGTCCATATAAACTGTTAGCAAATTGTTGGAAACCAAGCAAATTATGTAAAAAACAATTGATGTCAATCTGCTATATTTTGTTTGGAATATCCAGTAACAAATTGTTAGAACGTTGCTAACATTTTATTTGCTAAAAACTTATTTATCATACAATATATCTTACAATTATTTTGATATTTTGATTATATAATTAAATTATTTAATAAAACTATGTTATAATATTATGCTTCCAAAATGTTTAGGTGAGGTAGCAGAAACTATACATGAAGCATATCATATGGAAGTTAAATTGAAACGCAAATTACTCGAAAATGTTGCTCATAATTATACAGAATCTTGGAAGATGCTTCATCTTGCAGCTTGGGTGTACGAGCCTTTTATAACTGAAAATTTAATGATTTTATTAGATTCATTGCTTATTGAAACTGGTCACAGATGAGAAAAACTTCTAATGCAGCATTATATTTTTGTTTTAATTTTAATATACTTATATAAAGCAAATATAACGATTGGAGGAAGAAATCGCAATTTTATTTATTTATGTCAAGAATCTCGATTAAAATATAATAAATAGAGCTTAAGTACATTTTGGTATAAATTTATATATATGCACCTAAATAATTTTCGGTCTTGAATCTTAAATTAAACTATAGAATAGTAATATTGCAAATTAATTTAATGATATTGACGCTGATATCTTAAAAGTATAAATAATTTATTGCGAAAAATATCACCTTAGCCAAAACTCAAACCTCGACTTTCCTACATACCGTAACTGATATGTTTACTAATAATAGCAATTCGCAATTAAATATATTCAATTTTATTTGTATCGAGTATCGATACAATATAGGCTCAGCATCAATAATTGGAAATATCGAAGTCCAGAATATCAATTCAAGATGCCGTTATGAAATATCGATGCTACAGTATCATTTCCGCTTTATTTTAAATCCCCTCCCCGACTTCGATCCTCGTGCATACACGTACACGTGTTTTTGTTGGATCGTTATATTTACTAGAAATATAATTTGATATTGCTTAAAAAATGGGTAAAGCGAAAAAAGTTAAAGTATCTAAAGGCGAAACCAAAGAACCGAAAATTGGTTTGGCGGAACAAATAGAACTTGAGAAAGGGGTGAAAGTAAAAAACCGGCAAAAAATCAGGCGTCGAGCCGACGAAGAAGAGGTTAGTTTCAGCATTTACTTTATTTATTATATTTGTTTATTACATTTTGTTTTTTGAAATCAAATAGAGATAATCAAGTTCTTTGAAAAACACATAAATAAATTTTAAAATACACAAAACTACAGAAAAATTGGAAATGATGGCATTGGATTGCAATATCAAACTTTTTTATTTTTTATTTCAATTGAAATTTATGCTGTTTCTATTTTTTTTTAATCGAGAGATAGTTAAGATATAGTTAATTTTCCTTTGGAAAATTATCTCATTCTTACATTTTTTAATTTTAATTTCTAGTACATAACACCAACGCTGACGAAGAAAATCTTATCACAAGCTAGGCAACAGCAGCTAGAGATCGAAGATGAGATTGGTCCTAGCAATCTCGAGAAACCTAAAAAATCAAAGGTAAATCTTGGCTTTGGTTTCAACGACGAAGAGGATCAATCTAGCGATGATGGAGAACCAGTGGAGGATGTATATTACGAGAACATTAACATTGATGAGGACGATGAGCGGGCGTTACAGATGTTCATGTCAAAGGATGCAGCACCCATGAGGACGCTGGCAGACATAATAATGGAAAAATTGACAGAGAAAAAGACAGAAATCGATACGCAGTTTTCCGATGCCGGGACTATTCAATTGCAGGATTTGGATCCACGGGTAAAGGCGATGTATGAAGGTGTCAGAGACGTTCTAGCAAAGTATCGTAGTGGCAAGCTACCGAAGGCTTTTAAGCTCGTGCCTACCTTGAAGAACTGGGAGCAAATACTTTATATCACAGATCCAACAAAGTGGTCTGCTGCTGCCATGTATCAGGGAACAAGGATATTTGCTTCAAACTTGAAAGATAAAATGGCCCAAAGATTCTACAACTTGGTCCTGCTACCACGCATTCGGGATGATTTGGCGGAATATAAAAGACTAAATTTTCATTTGTATCAAGCGCTGAGAAAAGCATTGTATAAACCAGCCGGATTTATGAAAGGAATTCTCTTACCACTCTTAGAATCAGGAACGTGCACGCTCAGAGAAGCTACTATCATCGGATCTGTGATCGCAAACAATTCTATACCAATTTTACATTCCTCAGCGGCTATATTGAAAATCGCAGAAATGGATTATACGGGTGCTAACAGTATCTTTCTCAGGATCTTCTTAGATAAGAAATATGCACTTCCATACAGAGTAGTGGACGGAATAGTGTTTCATTTTCTTAGGTAAGATATCGCTTCCTTACTTAAAAAGTGACACAATTTCAAAGATTAAGTTTCTCAGAAAAGAATAAGACTATTTTTTGACTTGACAGAAAATTATTGACTAATTAATTACTATCGGTAAAAAGAAATATATTCACATTCAATAATCACAATTTTTAATTGTGACTATTTTTGTGAAATTAAGTTCACTTTAAACGATTAATAGAATAATGTTTACTTAACTCATTCATGGTAATATCTCAAACATATTTTTTAATTGTATCACTTTTAAAGTAGGAAAACGATATATAATAACAATAAATTTTAAATGAAAATTATTAAGAACTATGTTCATATCAAAATATAATTTATTAGGTTTGAAAGAGACACAAGAGAGTTGCCAGTACTATGGCATCAGGCCCTCTTAACATTTGTACAACGATACAAGAGCGATATCAGTTCCGAACAAAAGGAGGCCTTGCTAGGACTACTGAGGAAACAGTCGCATCATTCGATCACTCCTGAAATCAGGAGAGAATTACAACACGCGAAATGTAGAGACATAGAAATTACAGAACCCAAATCAGAACCAATGGATATTAAAGATACATAATGCATTCAAATATCGAAGTTATTGTAGTAATATTTGTAATTATAATGTAATTATAATATGAAAGCCAGTATCAGGTTATATATTGGAAATTGAGAATTATAAATTGTGTGTGTGTGAAAATTAGAATTTGATGAATTGGATAATATTAAAGATATAATATTAAGTGTATATAATGTCTGTAAAAAATGACTGGAAATTGGAAATTTATATTTTCCGTATAAAATTGGATGTTATGCATACATGAAATAATTTAATAAGAGAGATTAATATTTATATTTAACAATTTTGTAGTTTATATGAAACTTTTGCCATTTTAATTTTTTTTGAAAAAGTTTACTTCTTATTAAAATAATTTTTTATTCAGATTCTAATTCTAATTGCTGTTGAACTTTTTTATAACACTTCCTTTGGAATAAATTTTTATTTCATAATTTTTTTATTTTGTTAAAAAACATGTATAATACATCTTTAATCCGTTTTGTTTTGATTATTCTGATAGTTGAATTCTTCTCTTCAATTCGCAATCTTCAATCTCTAATGTATGATCTGATATAGATTTTAAAAAATATGAGAAAAAAAAATTAAAATAAAATTTAAATATCTTGATAAATCAAATGATTTGCGAAAAAAGATTCGAATTGCTGTGTAAAAATACATTTGTATTTGGTCCTATACTTAATTAAATACCTTAGACTAATATTTTTACAATTATTTTTACAATTGTTATGCCATAGAACGAAGAATGTAATGTACTGGATGATACATAGCAGTCACATTAAAAATCACATACACATATGCAATACATATGTTTACATAAATTATATTAAATATATTGTTTTTATCAATCACACAACTCATAAATATCATGAATATATCATGATCTTGTAACACACACGCGCGCGCGCGCACACACTTATCTGATAAATGCAATAGAAATTTCCATTTTCGAACTTAATATTAGGTGTTGGAATTAATTCGTAGCGTTTTACAAGTGATGGGAAGTACTTTCATTAATGTATTTTTTAATGCTCATGTGAAATAAATAACATTCTTTCATTAAAAAACGCTACGAATTAATTCCAACACCTAATAATTTAATTGTATGAATATAAATAAGGAAGCACAGCGCAACTCGAAAAACAAGAAGCGACTTATAAATTTACTTAATATTATGCTACATTAATTCGATTCTTTTGAGATATTTATATCTCAGTTTTATCTTTAGGACTGAGAACTTTATCTTCCTGGTTCATACCTGTATACTTTGAATCCAGAGCAGCATGTTGATCTATAGAAATCATCTTCATTATTCTCTGCTCGGACAAATAAAGATTTGTATTAATCAGAGGCACTTCAGTTGTACTCAATTTAATTACTCTACTTTCAGATTCCTTCTCTGTCTCTGATTTCTTCGAACTTTCCCGCAATTTCGAACAGGTCTCGCTGTTTGCGTCGTTGGCGTCTTTAACAAGAGATTCGGGTTTCTCAGTTAAATGATCGCTCTCTACTTTCGTGTCGTTCACATTTGCTTCCCCATTAATGTCTCTCTTCTCGCGTTCGTTATTCTCCAGAATGTCTCGACGAATCACGAGAATCTCCGATTCGCTCTTATTCAATGATGGAACGATTATCTTGTCTAATTTTGATTGATTCATCATTTTCAATGCTATAGGCACAGAATATTTTTCATCGTACTTTTCTTGCGATTTGTTCGATGCGTTCACAACTTCATTCGTAAGAATCTCTCTCTTCTCTTCCTTCAATCGACGATTATTATTCTTTTTAGCAAGTTCTTCTTCCATAACAGATCTTTGTAAAACTCCTTTTGTCAAGGCGTTTAAAATAGGTCCCTTCATATTTTTGGGATCATTAAATTCTATTCTTTCTACTTTCGTCTTATCTTGTTTTTCTTTTTGTAATGATTTCTCTGGTGTTTCACGATCAATCTCTTTAATACGAGGAAATTTGTCTAGTGCATTTTCTGATATTTTCTGTGGTATTTCTACATTCTTATTTTGAGAAACTTCGCGAAACACATCTAATTTGTCCTTATTATTTTCAACCGCGATATCCACATTATTATTCTCATCTCGAGACTTTTCATGCTTTTCATTTAATTTTATTTTGTCTGCATTACTCCAATCCTTTTTCAAAATTTCTTTATTACTTTTTTCGATAATAATCTCATTATTCTTTATATTGTTTTCTATCAAATTACTTTCTGACAAAATATTTTCTTTTACGTCAATTTGTATCTTTTCGTTTTTTTTTAGTATCTCGTCCTTCGCCATTCTCTGTTTCTCCCTCTCGAATTCTTGCTTTTGTTCCTTGATATCCTTCAGAATCTCCTTTTGTTCCTGCATCATCTGACGTTGCTCCAATTTATGTTTCTCCAATGTTTTTCTAAGTTGTTCATGTCGCTCTACAGCTCTAGCATTAGCCAAATCTCCCTCAGCTGCTAATTCTGACTCCTCCTTTTTTATTGCATCCAAAACGAGATTATCATTCTTCTGTAAATTCAACGATTGCTCCTTTTCCTCGATTATCTTTATCTTTTCTTCCGCTTTCAAAGTAACAGGTTTATCAATTTTAGCGTTATCAATATTTATAGCAATCTGTGCTTGTGCATTTAAATTTTCATTTTTAATTGTTTCATCTATATTTTTTATTTCTGGCATAAGAGAGCCTACTACTATCTTATCAGACTTTTCAACATTTGGCTTTTCGCTGATGATCATACGTTCAACAGGTATTGGTGGTTCTTGTCGAACATCTTTCATTTTCAGATCTAATGTTTTGTCGATAACATTTATGTCAGGTAGTTGATTAATTTTGTCTGTAATATAACATAAAATTAAAAAAGTAATATAAAATGAACATAACAATAAAAATGATAGATTTAATAAATTTAAATAATAATTTGTACCTTTCGCTCTGGGAATAAGTTCCAGACTATTGGGAATGTTGGGAATGATATGTAAATCATCTTTAATTATCTCTAATGGTAAATTATTGATTTGAATGAGCGGCTTATTAGTCACTGCTAACTTTGCGTTTGTAGACTTCTCTATAGCATATAAATTGGCGTATGTACCGAGGATCATGATCCAAACACCGACGATTAAAATGCACTAAATATAAAATATATATATATAAAGTTAAAAGAAAAAATCGTGAAACTGAGATTTACAGGAAAGGACTTTACCTGTGCTATAAGTCTTTCATTAGTATTTTTGCTGCTTATAGAGATAAAAAATACTGTCGGGAATATTAAACAAATCATCACACCAATCGTTGATCCTACAATACCAAGAACAAACTCTATATTCGGCACTAAAATACCGACGATCAGGGAAATGCTGACTATCACGATTGTGAGGCATCGAAATCTGAACTCCGATAGATAATTGACAGACGGTTCATGAGTATACACCTAACATAGCAATAAAACACAAATTAGGAATTCTAGCAGTATGTACTTGTGCCTCTAGATTTATTTGCAGTATATATACGTACTCGGCGAAATAACAGAGAATTCAAGCTCGCACGACATGGAAATATGACTAGAGGAAAACTGAATGCAACCGAAAACACGAATCCCAGTTTAATCAATTCTGATGTAATGCTAGGTTCAAAACTCAATAAAATATTTCCTACAAAATATAACAAAAATAAAGGATAGTAAAGTATTAATTTGACAAGAGATCTATTCTTTTCAGCTAAACTTCTTGCATTTCTTGCATTCATTTTTCTTTTCTTTTTCTTCAAGTTAGAAAAATAAGCAAGAAAGATAAACGATTTAAAAAGTTAGCTGAAAAGAATAGATCAAATAATTATAAGCTATTATATTATACAGCTCTTGAATTACCTGTGAACGGTTGGGTACAGAATGCAATGTAACCGAACAAGCCAACGCACATATATACAAGTGTACATATATTTAAAGCTCCTCTTACAACGTCATTCATTTTCTCTAAGGATACATTCGGAATGGTTTCGTATATTTCAAACAACTGTGTTTGACAGAAAAGAGCCATAGAAAATATCGGCAGGCATTGAAGGATGCCGGCCGGTCTCCAATAATTAACATTATTAAACCAATCTCCCATAAAAATATGTAGGGTTGATTCGCCCATAATCTATCAATTAGAAAAGAAAGTATATTAATATTAATTAATAGTAATACGTATTTTATAGCGAATCCGATCACTTCCATTACATTAAATTAGTGTATACTAAAAAAAAGCTGCTATATGTGAAATTATTATAGTAAAAGTAAATGTAACGCATATAAATATTTTAAACGATTAAATATTCAATAATAATATTGTGACGTTATTAATATATTATTCCAAAATTAAAATCGATTATAGCCCTGTATAAAAATTTTTAGACACCTCATTTATTACCGT